CTGAAAAATTTCCAACTGGTAACACAAAACCATTCTTTTTATTGAATTGGGAACAGTACAATAAAGAATCGATATTTATATATTCTGTTTACTTGATATGATACTAGTCCTAGATGAGTCAATATGTTCAAGTATAGCTGTAGCATTTTATGGTGTCAAAGCAAAATCTCTAAACTGTTTGTTTTGACAGTTCACAGTTATAAATTCTGTCAAAATCAGTACACTTGTCCTTTTCATAGAGATGCTGACAAACTGGTTTTAAGGTGTTTGTTTTAATGTATTTTTATCCAATTCTGGAACATTCCAATATTCTTAAATTATTAGATATACTTTCTGGGTCAAATCTGTCTGTCTCTCCTGACTTTCAGACCAATTTTCTAAGCATATATATACAACCACTGTTATGTACATTTGTTCAACACAGACAGGTAGGTTAGATTTAACTTTTTTCTTTTTCTTTTTTTTTTTTTTTTTTTTAAGTATAATAAGCTTTTTGTTTTCTGAGGACTCTGAAACCTTTATATTATTTATGTTCTTATTTATGTTTGAAAAAGAATCATGCTGACACAAACACTTCTTTAAAAATTTTAAATTAAAAAATTGGAGAACAGTTAGAGAAATTTGGAAGTGTTTCTGTTTCCAAGATCTAGTTAAATTTGAATTCAGTTCTGCATTTTGTTTTGTTATAAAGCTGATATTTATCTTCTACCATGAATTAATGATAATTTTGAGCTTTGAGGGACCAAGGTTTGAAGCATAGGCTGACGTAAACAACATATTTTCTGAGTGTTTAGTTTCCCACTTTGCTGAGATAGATAATTCAGATCTTTGTGCTGTTCCAGAGAGCTCTGTTTTACTTAAAGGCAAATTCCAGTCAGACTAAATCCTTAGATAGCTTTCAGACAATTTTAATTGTATTGACCTTAATTTGTCCATGGAGGAGAGAGAGGAAACAAAGCTGAAGCATATCCTATCTCAATGTCCTGGTTCAGCTAGGATAGGGTTAAGTTTCCCCAGCAGAGAGGGGGAAGGGATCTCCAGCTGGGTTATTCATACCATGCTGAGGTCAGGTCTTGCACGGCAGCGAGGGAAGCTTTTTCCTTTGTGGCTTTGGTCGCGGGAAGCATGCGGCAGGCTGGATGTATCCACTGCACTATTTCTCTGTATATCTTTTGTCTTGTTTACTGTTATCATTGTTTGTTGTTGTTCTTATTGCTATTGTTGTTGTTCAGATTGTTATTTATTACACTGTTGTATTAAATCTTTCCTTATTTCAGCTCCGAGGTTTGTGCCCTACTCAGTCCAAGGGTGGGAGAGGGACAATGGCAACAGCAGGGCCTAAACCACCTCACTCAACCATGAAGTTTTGAATTTTACTGCTTCCCATTCACAGCACAAAGAAGAGTATGCAAATAGGGCACAGTAGCATTAGTCTCTATGATGGAAAAAAACTTTGAAGGTTAAGATAACTTCTTAAATGATCACATTGAATATATCTGCAAAGTTTCAAAACCTGTGGTACAAATCTGACCTACATAATTTATTTTTCTCTGTTACTTATAATTATTGCTCTGACATCACCTTTACAAATTTGCTTCAGTGTTAGGGGACTTCTGAAAAGCCAATATTTTCTTTGTAATATTGCCTTTTGGCTATGATTTCAGTAATCTAAAATGAAATCTATTCCTTGTTTATAGCAAACAGGACTCGTTAGATTCTTATTTATTCATTCATCTATCTATCTATCTATCTATCTATCTATCTATCTATCTATCTATCTATTCATTCATTCATTTATTTATTATGTGATCAGCATCACCTATAGCCATATTTAGAATGTAGCGGCTTTTTTGTTTGTAATCTTTCCACAAACATGATGAATAAATAATATGGACTTGTAAGAATGAATTATATGAACTTGCAGGAAAAGTGGAACAGGAAATAATTCTGTTCTGCATACTAAGAATAGATATGACACGAAATAGATAGACAAATATATATCTAAAATAATTTAGATTAAATGAATACCAAATCAGAGTTAGAACCATGCCTATTATAAAATGTACATCACATTTACACACAAACACACACATAAGGAAAAGATCCCTTCAGTTAATTATCTCTTTTTCAATAATTCATTATCTCATCAAAAATATCTATACTCGTCATAAAACACAGTCTGAAGACCAATGGAAAATTTCAGCAGTTTTGCTATGTTTTCTCCTGCAAAGTACATAGGGAAAACATATTTTGTAATGTTAAAAAATATTTAGGGGCTTTTCATCTGATACAAATCCTAACATCTGGCCGGAATATTCTGAAGATCTTTCTGTTTTCCTTTTCTATGAAGAACTGGGCTCTACTGGCCATTTCAAAAGAGTGATCACAGCTCTCATATATCTTCTTGAAAGGTGCTGAGCAGCGCAGTTCCTCATAGATGCTGTTCCTGAAATCACAAGACTTTCGAGTGTCTCTCTGGGATATGACACACTGTGCTGGGCAGTGAATTGGAACTGATTGAAAAAACAGTTTAATCCCATCACAGGTCCTAACAAATAGAGAGGGTAGGGAGAAGAGCAAATATGGAAAAAAACCCAAAATTAAATAATCTGAAAAGGAGGATTCAATTGAAGTCAGAAGAAGGTGGGTAATGATAAATACAGAGAAGGCATAAAACTATTAAACAGTTTAAAAGATTTAGGCTAGGAGTCAGGAGAAGATCACTGAAACCTGACTGGAAGGGTAGACTAAGTAAACTGATGTGTGGTTATTGCTCCTGAGGAATTGGAGCAATTCCTACCTTAAACTTGGAAAATATCAGAAAAAACAGACACACTGCAAATGGCATAGGAAAAACCTTTATATATCAGAAAAACAGACTGGTAAGGATAATTTCTTATAGCCATGTATCCTACCATAACCTTGAAATTATTCTGAAAGTTTTGTTTAGCTACAGCTCTTGGTGTCTGGCTTTGAAAACAACCTCTTGTATTTTAGTTCCCTTACATGCCAGTTTACACAGAGAATAATAATCTTGTCTTGCAACTAAGGCTAGATGTCATTATACAGATCTCTGATTTTTCAGTTTCCTTTTTAAAATAGTACCAACAAATTTTAAAGTCATTATTTTACCGAGTCAGGCAATATTCCAACTAAAATCATGTGATGAGACAATTACAGGCTATACCATAATGTGTAAATAATAAGATTTAATTAAGAGCAACCATACCGAATCCCAGCATTTTCTATTTTTTCTAAATTTTAACTACTTACAATTTTATTGTGGTTTTCTATTTGGTAGATAAATGTGGTTTATATAGATAAATGGAGAGAGAAAGAGAAAAAAGGAATGAGTGAGTAACAATGCTACTATTTTAGTTTGTCTGGAAAATGATTGGGTTAGCAGTATCACAATATTATATAACCTTGTGCAGCATCTTAAAAGAAACAAGGTATTTCTTGTTATTTGTACAAATCATACCTTTGAAAAAAATATATACTGCAGCCTAGGCAAGTCAGACTTTCTATAATCTAGGTTGCTGCTAGCAGCAGAATGAACCTTCAGAATTTATGGTTTTGCCACCTGATATGAAAATATCTAAATAAATAACATCCATTCCCAGTTGTACCCTCAGCTCACAAACATATTTTCTTTCCTTGTAAGCCGTCAATATAAGTTATTTTGTGGAACAATTTATCTGAACTGAAAAAAAAGACTTACCTGCCAGCTGAAAACATTTCTTTCCCAATCTATTTATCCAAATTAAACTCTGAATCTGTGACTGTCATGGTAAGCTGATAAATGTACACTGACGTATGTTATGTAGTTTTTAATAAATGCGTCTTTGTTCAGTATCTGCTTCTGGGAGATGTAGCAGCACTTCTGTTTACTTTTCAGATGATTAATTTCAGATTTTCCAGGATCTTTCCATTCTTAGTTATATTTTCTTAGCTAGGAGATTTCAACAATATAGTTTAATGTCTTAATTATCATTAGTGTCACCTGGTCTTTATATGGTTTTATCCAGACACAATTCTGCTTCTTGTGCTGTAAGAATGAGATTCTGCAAACATGGACATTAACAAGAGGCCAAAGATGGACAAGGGGCAGAAATAATTATGTGCTTTTTTTCCATCAAAGAGGATTTACTGAATTATATGATTATATATTAAAGTGTATAAAGATCATTTCCTCAACACATTTTAGAGTTTATTTCCCCAAATAGACCCTTACCTACTTCATTAGTAAGTGATGTAGTCCTGTTGGAGGACTGAGAGCCTACTTTACACATAGCTGATATTAAAATAATAATGCATTTGCTTCTTTCTTCTTTCTTTTGTGATCATGAGTGATTAGGTATCATGTCTTAAAAATTCTCTGTACTGACAAGAAAGTTTCTTTAAAGAAGTGTGTGGAGGCACTCATCAATCACAAAAAATTTTATTGGATGATAAGAAAGAGTCATTTAAAAATGATACAGTCTAAAGTTCAAAACCTCCAGGAAATATTATTTTCCCTTAAAAGTCCAATCTTCCCATAATTCTAAAGAGAGGTAGAGCTCTCATTTCCCTGGATTCTGGGAAAAGTGAAGAATGTCTCATATATTCAGAAATACAACAGACCAGGTCCTGAATTAATGTAAGGCAATGACAATTAAAAATCTCTTTGAGATACATCGTTGAATATTTACTTCAGATTGATTCTTTTTCATATGCTAAAACTGAGAAAGAACTAAACCATTGCAACCAGCTTCTTTATACCTTCCTTTTTTTTTTTTTTCTTTTCCTTTTATTATTTTTTAAACATTTTTAGGACTTCATATCTTCATTTGTAATATCATGGAGTGATGTACTCAGTTTTCTTCTTTTCTGTTTATTCTTAGGCTGAATGTTTGAGAGGAACCTACTGAGGAGGAGAAATGGCAGTGATTATAGTCAGGAAGTGCATCATCTGAAGTGTTAAGAAAATACCAGATTATTACTCATTTCTCATTCAAAAGGCCACTAGTGGTGACTTCTTAAATATGCTAATGAGGCCCTACTGCATCATTTCAAGTTACTTTTCTTTAGAAGGAATAACATGAGCTAAAGAATACCTATTAGCATTTAGCTCTTTTTTTTTTTTTCCTTATACAAGAGAGAACTGAAAATAATGACTGTATTGATTTTTTTCATAGTAAAAAATAATAAAACCAGAAGTATCTATATTAGTGAATATCTTATATGGTTATAGCTGACAGCACTGAAAGCACAGCTGTGGTATATCAAGTGTATCAAGTACTCGGTAACACTCAACAGGTGTACACTGCTAGTATATATTGCCTAAATTCAGATGTTTGAAAAAAGTCTCTAACTTCATACAGTTATTTGTCAATGAGCTATTAGCATCCTTGCTGTGTATCCTTCTTCTCAGCAGTCATCTGTCAAACAAGTAGCTAGATGTATGTCAAGATAAAAAAAAAAAAAAAAAATGAGAGCAGCAACAAGTTCTACTTGACCTATAAAGAGAAAAATCACATTTAAACAGTTTGGTTAGAAACTTTAAAATACTAAAGACAATTTTTGCATAGAGAATACTATCAGTAGCTTCTCTGACATTATATGCTGACCTCATTACACTTGTGCTTTCTACTCTAAGATATCATTTGCCTCTTACCTGCTCAGAGTTAGGCTTTGATTCTGTAAAAGCAACTTAGAGGACAGAACTTTTGCAGACTATATAGAAATGTTTCTGTGAATGTTCTAAAAGTACATTGGACAATGTCAGAAAGCAGCACATAAATAGTATTGAGAAAATGAACTTGGTGATATTTTAAAAATTGGTATAATTTCATTAAGTAAAACTGTAGCATAAAATGGCTTGATTCAAGTTTGAATTTGTGTTATGAAACTCGGATCATATTTTAATATTTGGGTTTTCATCTTTTCTCTGAAACCTTAATACACAGAAATTTGCAAAATTATTTTTATGTGAAAATATTATGATATGTTTTCATTCTGAGTATTGTGACTACGAATTTTCTTAGACAAAAAAATATCATGAAAGATCACTGCAAGGAGTACAGGCAAAATCTTATTATCAGTAAAGAATTCTAGCGGCTTCTGTGAAGCTGGCTTTTTATCCTATGACTCCATCTCTTGTAAGCCATACCTGGGGAGAAAAAAAAAAAAACACCAACAAGCAAACAAACAAAATCCCAACTGATAATTACATTTGGTTGGATGGAATGAAGTGGATTTCTGTGCTGCACAGCATGATCACACCTACTGAGCTACCATCTGCACACAGTCTCTCTAACTAGATCTAAACTAGTTTTGCAGTGAAGAGCTCTCTGCTGCCACAGTGTAGTTGAAGGTTTTGCTTATCCTTGCAGAGCTGTGGAGAAGATAGCTAGGCCACAAAAGTGTACAATGGAAAATTTAATCTGCCAAGAAAATCAGTTAATTTCAGTAGTTGAGGGAGTATAAAAAATACAATTAAATTCCTTGTACATGATCTTCTTGTTAGGCGCTCTCTACTTCAGATTTTCCAAACATGTATGTAGTGACCTTCATGTCTGTTAGAAGGATGTTTTGTCAGGCAGCTATTCCCTTCCTGTCTTTTGATTATTTCTAGAAACTGATTTCATCATGTGATATCAACATGAGGAATCCACTCCAGATGAAGGAGAAAGTCTTCAGCATTCTGGACTTGAATCCTGCCTATATTCCTTGAATTTGGAAGTAATAACACTTAGAACACTTTATTGCAGAGACCATCACTTTACCTGAAGGCTGTCAAGGTCAAAGAGAATCTATTCATACATTTCATGGAGTTGTTTGCTGGGAGAAGCAGTTGCCAGTATGTGTACAACTGGGGTCTCCCTGTCAGAGACTTCTCTTGATATCCCTTCTAGATCGAATGTCTCACTCCTCACATCTCTTTCTATTAATCTTCCACTGTTGGCTACTGCTTCCTTATTTCATTCCCACCTCTCTGTGGCTGTCCTACAGCCCCTGAAGAGTTGTCTCTAAATTCCAGGCAGACCCAAGTCCCTTCTCTTCTAATCCCTGCCACTAGCTTCTCAAACCTTAAGGCTGCTCCGGATTTCTACATACTGCTCACAGTCTTCCTGCAATGCATGCCTCCTCCTTGGACCTCTCCTGCTCTTTATTACGTCAGACTATCCTCTGTCTGTCACATTAACTTTTTTTTACTCCAGCTTTGGAAAATAGTCTAAGTTACTACACAATTATCTTGTTTTGCAGCTGAGACATAAATACATGGAATTGTAACTGTCTTATTTAGCATTTTAGCTGGTGATAAAGGAATATCACCTTCTTGTCTCATAGCCCTAGAGTAAATGGAGTTTTAGCAGCTATGTCACTTTTTTTTTTTTTTTCTGTGGGATTATTTTATTCATTTTTATAACTGGGGAAATAACTTTCTTCAAAATATTGTCAAAATCCTCCAAAATGTTAGATATATTCTGGATTAAAAAAAAAAAAAAAAAAAAAAAA